TTTGTGTAGTATTATGTTCAGCAGACTGTGTTCTTCTATTGTTGTGACTTAGATGACGTTCAGAGCACATTTTATGCCCAATTCATGCAAAACTCCACGTATTCCCAAGGGGTTCACATACTTTTTCTTGCAACTGTATAGTCTTCATTTGAACACGTAACTGGAATGTCTAATCCCATGCTACTAGGCTATATCTTCTTAGATCCTCTAGCTCACTATTTAAAGAAAGAAATTACATTACTGACAAATTCCCTTTTCCAAATATGGAAAGCAGCAGTCATTTTAAATATTCTGTAACGGTCTTCTCACATTACAACAGCTTACGGGTAGGGTCTACCAGCAAATGATATATGTGAGAACATTGAAAATGTGACATATCACTGGTGTATAGGTTCATAAAGAGTACTCATAATATAGTAAGTTAGCAAAGTGCACTACAAGTCCCAGCTTTCAATGTCCAATGTCAGGTGCATCAGTGAAATTTAATCCGATCAGAAAGATGGTAAGGGACTATATAATGAGAGGATTCTGCAGCTTCCAGAGGCGATCCAGAATGATCCAATGCAGCTCATACAACGGGAAAACAGAAGCATGGGATCTTCATTAGCATGACAGTAATCATTTATTAAAAAGAAAAACAATAGCACACTTAGAGTTAAACTTCTTGTTACTCTGCATAGGAGGTAGGAATCACCAAGGTGGATACAAAGTAAGGCTGTATACAGGAACGACAGCTGCAGATCCCCTGGCAAGCATCACAGGGACCCACTCTGATAACTGTCAAAAGTCTACCAGTGTCCTGTGCTGCTGCCTACTGCCTCATGGTGACCTCTAGGTCCTGGTGGCAAGAGGCAAGCAGAAAAAAAGATTGTCCTTTAAAATATGTTGCCTTCTTGTCACCAGCACATAGAGCTCACTATGAGGAAGTAGGCAGCGGCACTGGATTCTGCTTTTGGTGGTCTTTTGAAAAATGTCAGAATGGGTCCCTGTGATGCTGGCAGGGGGATCTGAAGCTTCCGTGCCTGTATACAGTCTTACTTTTTCTTCACCTTGGTGATTCCTACCTCCTATGCTGATTATCAAGATCTGTAAGTGTGCTGTTTTTTTCTTTTAATAAATAATTACTGCCATGCTAATGAGGGTCCTGCACTCCTGTGTTTCTTGCTGTTTGATAATATAGTAAGAGAAGGAGCAAACATGACCAAGCTCAACATCCTCAGGATATGTGTAGTAGGCAGGGGCGGACTGACAACTCATGGGGCCCCCGGGCAATAGGGGATCATGGGGCCCCTGTGTCCTTGCCCAAAGTCAAAAAAGCCTATGAAAAAGGTACCAGGGGCATCTCATGGGGCCCCCTACTGACCCCGGGCCCTCGGGCGGTGCCCGAGTTTTTCCAAATGGTCAGTCCGCCCCTGATAGTAGGAAGAGAAGAGCTAGAAAAATAAGCAAATAACACTTCTGTGTCCTCATTGTTCTACAATCCACCTTATGAAACTAAAGCTAGTTTTAGAGCTCAGCTGTTTATTTGTAGGTGGAGAATTAACTTGGGAAATGACTAGGTTAAAGGGTTCATTAGTTGATCTAAGGAGGACTTTCCATCAGATTGAAAGCACTATGTGATTCCCTCTCTTTGCCTTCTTGGTGTTTTAACTTGGAGATGTTCTTTAAATGTTTTTCTTTAATGTACAGTAAATAATGTTTTCCATGCTTCTGATGGACAAGTAAGTTTTAATGCACTGTGTGTAAAGACAATCGTTTAGTGCCTTAGATCATATCTGCTGACGCTTACATACTGTACCAGCAGATTTCCCACTCTGTGGAATAATACGTATCAATCTGGGAGTAAACCACGCTCTAATATTCATAGTAGTTTGCTGCTGATAATGAACTTTAGTAATTTGGGCATTGTGTTTCCCAGGAGTCCACTGCAGGCTCCACGCCATTATAATTATGTTTTAGCATTTGACAAGCTACTTGCTTTTTGATAATCCTGTGCAAACCTATTAGACAGGAGTTTTTTCTTAATATAGGTTAGTGTATTAAGATTACAAAAGTGCTACATTCTCCAAAGGAAAATAATACAGTAATGGAATTTATGTAATGGTTTCTGTACATCTGGAGCCTGTAAAGAAAAATAAACCCATAGGAGTCATCAGCGTCTAAACGCATTGTCACTTGCTTGTAGTCCAACATTGAATGTTATAAACACTGAAATGTATTCATCCAGCCAATGTTCCACAAACTGGCATAGCCTACCAGCCAGAACTAATCTCAAGTCACTGTGCAGGTCTTGCATACTGACACGGTGCTGTCCCAATGTTCCATAAATTGGAACAGTTTACCATCCAGACATAATCTGAAGTAACTGTGCAGGCCTTGCATACTGACAAGGTGCTGTCTGAGTTTAATTTTTATGTAATCAAATTTCAGAACAGGTTGATATGCTCTACCCCTTTGCACGTTATATACAGTGGGGCAAAAAAGTATTTAGTCAGCCACCAATTGTTCAAGTTCTCCCACTTAAAAAGATGAGAGAGGCCTGTAATTGGCATTATAGGTAGACCTCAACTATGAGAGACAAAATGAGAAAAAAAATCCAGACAATCACATTGGCTGATTTGGAAAGAATTTATTTGAAAACTATGGTGGAAAATAAGTATTTGGTCAATATGAAAAGTTCATCTCAATACTTTGTTATATATCCTTTGTTGGCAATGACAGAGGTCAAACGTTTCCTGTACGTCTTCACAAGGTTGGCACACACAGGCCAACCAATGCCAATTACAGGCCTCTCTCATCTTTTTAAGTGGGAGAACTTGCACAATTGGTGGCTGACTAAATACTTTTTTGCCCCACTGTACTCATGCCATACCATGCTTTGCTTTTTGTTTGGAGAACATTGCTTGTGAGCTCAATCCTATTTTCACCCTTCTTTGTAAACTCAATCATAATGTAACTGTTTATCAATATTAAAATATATGCAACAATAAATTATTATTATTATTGTACAGGATTTAAATAGCGCCAATGGTTTGCACAGCGCTTTACAAAATTAATACATACATTGTTGCTTTTATGACATTCTCATATTTGTCTTCTTATATTAAGACTGAACAATATCAAGTTGATCCCTATCTTTGCCTGTACATGGAATGTTACATTTCTTATCAATGATAACACAGGTAAATGGATAAAAATATTTAAATATTAAGGCCTCTTTGTGTAACACACACTTGTTACCCACATATCAATTGATCAGAAGTTGATTCCTGGCAATGCACATGCAGTTCTATTAGACATCCTGTATATGGTCTATATGTTTGCATGGATCTTCTAAGTCATTAGAAGAAAGGAAAACTGTGAGCCTGCTAGGTTGTGACTATTGGGTTTGTTTCAGTGATGTTGCAACTGTCGTGCATGTGCAATGGTGTTGCAATATTTATTTATTTATTACAGGTACTTATATAGCGCCGTCAATTTACACAGCACTTTACATATATATTGTACATTCACATCAGTCCTTAACCCTAAGGTCATAATACTAGGCTTAACTTCTCGCTCCAGATTCTGTCAGCCCCAAAGTCTGAATGGAAACATTGGAGAGTAAGGGGGGGGGGGGGTGATTGTGAGTCAAGAGGAAAGTTGAGTGTCAGAGGAGAGTCAGGTGGTGGAGAAACAACTTTTAAGGGCCTTCAATAAGTAGGGATTATAAATTAAAAGTGGGCAGGGAAAACTTTACAATCTATGGGCACCAGATTTGGTTGAATTTGTCACATTTGTCCTCCTTCAAGGAATAAAGGTTGTCTTCCACTATTTTGCAATGGTTCTTTCACCAGCAATGAAGATGTAGCCTAGATTGGTGCCTGCCGAATTCTGCATATGGCTTTCAGAAGAGGTCTTCTATAGGGTGCAGAGTTAGTGTCTTGGCCAACACTTAATTGTGTTACATGTCCTTAGTAAAAAAATTTGGCTATTCTACTACATGTGACTGTAGGTTCTTGGTCATGGACATCATTTTTACTTGTTAGATAATAATTTGAGAGGGCTTTTGATATATGGGATGCTGCCAGGTACCACCTTAACAAAAGCTTGAAGTTGGCTTTGATTGCCAGGACATTGACAAAGCTTTACTACACAGATTGAGTCGCGATCTACTGGTGTTACAGCAATGTGGAGGTCTTGTTCCCATTTAGAAGTGGATCAATTCTACATTTCTGATAAAGGTAGAGGAAGTGCAGGGGGTGTCCACAAGTGTGATAGGTGAGGAGAGAAAATTACTGATTTGGGGACAACAACATAGTTCACAAACAAACAAAAAAATTCCCAGCACACTTACCAGCCAGCCTGCAAAAAAAAGGATAACCCTATCTAGCAACTCACAATTAAAACAAAGGTTTAGTTGCACACATTTGCAAAGATATATGAAAGCAGCAGGGACCCTCCAAGGCTCCTCTGTATACTGTGGTTCCAACTCTAGATTTGAGAGTCACCAAACTTGGTCCCTTGGGGAGGCACTGCAGTTTTCACATATATTTACATATTTTTTTTTCCTCTGTGTGTTGAACTAGATGTTGACTTTTTTTGACCAGACTAACTATGTTTTTTAACATGAATCCTATGTGGCATAAATAGTGTTGTGTGACTTGAGCCACTTGATAAAGTTGATAGTTTTTTATATAGGATAAAATTAAGCAACCTTGGCATTTCTGTTGCTATAAGATGCTGCTCATGGCTCTGAGCCTCATTCTACCCCACACAAATGTTAGGATGGGTGATTGCAGTGTAAAGAGACACTATGTAGTTATCTGGGTCAGAAGAAAACCAGGCTTAGTACAAGACTTGTGTCACAAGGTAATCTTCACAGCTGCAATCTTGCCCAGTCAGGAGATACGATGTTTCCCACTGTTTAAAGCAGAACAAAACTATATTGCCAAAAGTATTGGGACATCCCTCCACATCACTGGATTCAGGGGTTCACATCCATGGCACAGGAATAAAAAATCAAGCACCTAGGCATGCAGACTGCTTCTACAAACATTTATGACAGAATGGGTCGCTCTCAGGAGCTCAGTGAATTCAAGCCTGGTACCGTGGTAGGTTACCACCTGTGCAATAAGTCCATCCATGAAATTTCCTTGCTACTAAATATTCCACGGTCAACTTTTAGTGGTATTGTAACAGTGGAAGCAACTGGGAACAACAGCAACTCAGCCATGAAGTGGTAGGCCACGTAAAATGACAGAGTCAATAGCTAAAGACCTCCAAACTTCATGTGGCCTTCAGATTAGCACAACAACAGTGCATAGAGAGCTTCATGGAATAGGTTTCCATGGCCGAGCAGCTGCATCCAAGCGTTGTAAAGTATTGGAAGCAGTAGTGTAAAGCACGCTGCCACTGGACTTTAGAGCAATGGAGATGTGTTCTCTGCAGTAACAAATTATGCTTCTCTGCCTAGCAATCCGATGGACGTGTCTGAATTTGGTGGTGGTGCAGGAGAACGATACTTGCCTGACTGCAGTGCACCAAGTGTAAAGTTTGGGGGAGGGAGGATTATGGTGTGGGGTTGTTTTTCAGGGGTTGGACTTAATCCCTTAGTTTCAGTGAAGGGAACTCAGCATACCAAGACATTTTGGACAATTTCATGCTCCCAACTTTGTTACTGCGCACTAGTACACAAAGCAAGGTCAAAAAAGACATGGGTGAGCCAGTTTGTGGTGGAGGAATTTGACTGGCCTGCACAGAGTCCTGTCCTCAGCCTGATAGAACACCTTTGGGATGAATTAGAGTGGAGTCTGCAAGCCAGGCCTTCTCGTCCAACATCAGTACCTGACCTCACAAATGCGGTTCTGGAAGAATGGTCAAATATTCCCATAGACACACACCTAAACCTTGTGGACAGCCTTCCCAGAAAAATTAAAGCTGTTATAGCTGCAAAGGGTGGGCCAACTCAATATTGAACCCTACAAACTAAGACTGTGATACCATTAACATTCATGTGTATGTAAAGGCAAGTGTCCCAATACTTTTGGCAATATAGTGTATACCAAACTTGCTTTACAACTTGCTAAAAATATGTACTTTAGCAAGCAAAAGGCAACTAGATTATATGTCAGGCAAGGGAAAAAAATCAGCAATTAGGAGATTATTATTATTATACAGTATTTATAAAGCGCCAACAGTTCACTCAGCGCTGTATATTACAAAGGGGGACAGAACATGCGACAGTACAGTAACAATACAATGCGATACACGAGAGGTTCAAGGGCCCTGCTCTTTCGAATTTACAATCTAGGAAGGAGGGGATAGTGGTACAGGAGGAGATAGCTGTGGGGGATGGAGTGGTAGGGAGAGTGGAGGAGGTCGGCAAATTAGCAGGGGGTGGGGTAGGCTTCTCTGAAGAGGTGGGTTTTCAGGGTACGCCTAAAGGAGAGGAGAGTAGGTGATAGTCTGATGGGTTGGGGCAGGGAGTTCCAGAGGATGGGTGACACCCTGGAGAAATCCTGGAGGCGGGCATGGGAGGAGGAGACCAGGGAACTAGAGAGAAGGAGGTCTTGTGCGGAGCGGAGTGTGCGTGTTGGGTGGTACTTGGATATCAGGTCGGTGATGTAATTTGGGGCAGTATGGTGGACAGCTTTGTACGTCAGTGTTAGGATTTTGAATTTGATCCGTTGCGCAATTGGAAGCCAGTGGAGGGATTGGCAGAGGGGGATGGCAGAAACGGAGCGGTTGGTAAGGTGAATGAGTCTGGCTGTCGTATTCAGATCGACTGAAGTGGGGATAGCCTGTGGCTAGGCAGGCCAGTGAGGAGGGAGTTGCAGTAATCGAGTCATGATATGATAAGGGAGTGGATGAGCTGTTTAGTGGTTTCTGGGGTTAGGAACGTGCGGATTTTGGCAATGTTGCGGAGGTGGAGTCTGCATGAGTTTGTTAATGATTGGACTTGGGGGTTGGAAGGATAGGTTGGAGTCCAGAATGACACCAAGTACTCTGGCCTGCGGGGCGGACCTGATAGTGGCATTGTTGGATGTGATGGAGAAGTCAATGGAGGGTGGTGTGCGGGCTGGGGGGAAGACTAGGAGCTCGGTTTTGGAGAGGTTCAGTTTAAGGAAGTGGAGTGACATCCAGTCTGATATGTCATTCAGTAGGTTTGTGATTCGGGCGGAGACTGAGGAGGTGAGGCGAGGGGTTGAGAGATAGATTTGTGTGTTGTCGGCATAGAGGTGGCAGTTGAAGACGTGAGAGTGTATGAATTGGCCAAGGGAGGAGGTGTTGATGGAGAAGAGAAGGGGCCTGAGGACGGAGCCTTGAGGAACCCCAACAGAGAGGGGTAGTGAGGGGGGGGGCTGGTAGCGTTATAGGTAAGGCTGAAAGAGCGTTGTGATAGGTAGGATGAGAGCCAGGAGAGAGCGGAATCTCTGAGGCCGAGGGAGTGTAGTTTTTTGAGGAAGAGGGGGTGGTCGACTGTGTCGAAGGCCACGGAGAGGTCAAGGAGTAGGAGCACTGAATAGTGGCCATTAGCTTTGGCGGTTAGAAGGTCGTTGAAGAGTTTGAGCAAGGCAGTTTCGGTGGAGTGTAGGGGACGGAAGCCGGACTGTAGCGGATCGAGGAGGTTGTTGTTGTTGAGGTGAGAGATTAATTGAGTGTAGACTAAGCGCTCGAGGAGTTTGGATGTGAATGGGAGCAGGGAGATGGGTCTGAGGTTGTTCGGGTCGTTGGGGTCCAGGGAGGGCTTTTTAAGTATGGGGGTGATGTATGCATGCTTCAGAGGGGAGGGGAATGCGCCGGAAGAGAGGGAGAGATTAAAGATGTGGGTGAGGGAGCGTAGGATGGAGGGGGAGGGAGGTCGTAGGAGTTGTGAGGGGATAGGGTCGAGGGGGCATGTGGTGAGGCGGGCATCAGAGAAGAAAACAAGAAAACAGGAGGTATAGTTGACAGAGAAGAGAATAAGAATAGACAAAAGGAGGCCAAACACATTATCAGTGCTGCCACAGCACAGAAAGAGGAGGAAATTACTAAATCTATTAAGAAAGGAGATAAAAACCTTTTTAGGTACATTAGTGATAAAACAAATAATACGATGAGATCACTAAAATGAAAACTGGGCACAACACTTATTTTAAGGGACCTGGATGTAGCAAACCACTTAAACAATTACTTTTGTTCAGTCTTCTCAGAAATAAATCATACTAACAATGAAAAGTTGGGAAATCATATTGGTTCTAGTAATGATGGTTCATTTTTAGGATTTCTGGAGACAGAGGTAGCAGAGGAAATGGCTCAGTGAAAGACCCTGATGGTATTCATCCCAGAGTTCTAAGAGAACTTCAAGGTATAGTTGTTGGACCATTACCTGATCTTTTTAATCAATCTCTTCTAACAGGAGAAGTTCCCCATGACTGGTGGACAGCTAATATTGTACCTATCCACAAGAAGGGCAGCAAGGTAGAAACTGGCAATTACAGGCCAGTGCGTTTAACATCGGTAGTAGTCAAGTTAATGGAATCCCTCCTGAAAAGAAGGATCATTGATCACTTAAAAACACACAACTTACTGGATCCAAAGCAGCATGGCTTTACTGAGGGCAGATCATGTCAGACTAATCTGATTGGATTTTTTTACTATATTACCAATGTTTTGGACCAGGGTGGTGCTGTGGACATAGCATATCTCGATTTTAGCAAGGCATTTGATACAGTTACATGTAATGATCTAGTACAAAAGTTGTACAAGCAAGGACTTAGCCCTTGGATGGTTCTGTGGATATGCAGCTGGCTAAAGGATAGACACCAGAGTGTGGCTGTAAATGGGGTTCGCTCGGAACAGAGATCAGTCACTAGTGGTATACCACAAGGCTCTGTACTAGGTCTTGTTCTATTTAATCTATATATAAGATATATAACTAAAGAGTTGTTGGGTAAGGTATGTCTTTTTACTGACGACACAAAGGTTTGTAATTGGGTTGATATCCCTGGAGGTGTCTGTAATATGGAACATGATTTGGCATTGCTGGAAGATTGGTTAAAAAAGTTGAAATTGCAGTTCAATGTTTCTAAATGTAAAATAATGCACCTAGGGAAAAAGAATCCCTTGAGAGAATACAACATTGGGGGTATAGTGTTGGCCAGCACTTCAGATTAAAATGACTTGGGGGTACATATTTCAGATGATTGCAAAATGAGCACTGTGGCCAGGCAGTGGGGAAAGTAAATAGAATTCTAGGATGCATCACTAGAGGGGTCACCAGAAGGTGGAAAAAGGTCCTGATTCCCCTATATAGATCTTCAGTTAGACCTCATTTAGAATACTGTGCCCAGTTCTGGAGACCTCACAAAAAGATATTGATAAGATAGATGAATCCAGAGACAGGTAACAAAAATGGTGGAAGGTCTGGGGGATAAAACACATCAAGAGCAACTTCAGGAACAGTCCATGTCTCTTTGCAGAGAATTTTTAGAGAGGCCAGTATTGTCGATATGAAAACAAAATCAAGAACACGGGGACATGACCTTAAACTAACTGGAGAAAGTTAAAAACTAATCTTAGCAAGTACTATTTTATTGATGCTTGGAACAAACTTCCAGCAGAGGTAGTGAGCCAGTCAACAGTAAATAGCTTGAAAGATGCTTGGGACAAGCATAAATCTATGCGCAGACAAAAAAGTTAACAAACCCCACCACCACCACCAAAAAAAAAAGAAAAAAGAAAACACACACACAGAAAAAAAACTGGCAGACTCGATAGACCACTCGGTCTCTTTCTGTTGTCACTTTTCTATGTTTCTAATAATTATGGTACCAAAATGAGTGTGTGCTGTAAATTACCTCCAGCATTTTTCCCGTTTCTTCTTGCTGGAGGCTTCCATTTTGCTGAAGCCAAGAGACCCTGAGCTCTTTGGGCTGTAGAGGGTAATACTATATTTAGGGCTTTTGGTTTATAACAGTCAACATTTTCATGAAAGAAGAAATTTGATAAGTGGGGAGAGATGACAAGGAAAAGTAGTTATGGGTTCTGAATAAATAACTCTTCTCCATAAGGGCAGTTTAAAAAAAAAGAATTCTCAAGATGGAAGTTTGCCTGAATTGATGTTTTGAAGACAAAGGTGTTCCAATACTTACAGCTGATATAATCACCTTACAGAAAAAAGGAAGACTGAGAAGCTTTTAAAGGGAAACTAAAGATTTGTTTTTTAATTTAGTTTAGTTTTAGTTTTTTTATTCATATATACACATTTATCTAGTGATCAAAGTCTACCCAATAACATTTCTGGTTTTCTTGCTAAAAGATTGAGGTTATATTGTTTTCCCATTACTTTGTATCCTTTCAAGAAATCCCTGCAAAAGGGACATGGACTGCAAATAAAATCCAACAGAGGTTCTAACCCAGAGTTTCTCAACCAGGGTTTCATGGAGTCCTAATGTTTCTCCAGAGGTTGCTAGGGGTTCCTTGAACAATGAGCAATTTTTGCATTTCAGGTATGTTCCCACTGACATCATTGGTCTATTTAGCTATCTTTAAGAGATGAATTCTTCCCAGTGAC